CGCTACGGCAACTGGTAATTGACAACTGGAACGGAATACGGATTACGATATTGGTTATGATTCTATGATGTGACGGAGCGGATTATTTAGTGTAACTAGATTATAGTGTATTATTGTTGTATTGATTCCCTGTTTTGCCCTTTTTGTAAACTGTTTTTATATGTTGTGCACCGCCGCGAGTCGCCCTAGGGCTGAGAGCGGCGGTCAATAAATGCAGTAAATAAATAAATAAATGCTTATTGTCAGTAATTGATAATCCAAATGGCTTAGTACAGTAGAGTCTCATTTATCCAACCTTCGCTCATCCAACGTTCCGTATTATCCAACGCAGTCAGACTCCCATGTGGATCCACAGCTATTTCAATACATTGCAATGTTTTGACGCTAAATTTGAAAATACAATAATTACTACATAACATTACCATGTATTGAACTGCTTTTTCTGTCGGTTTGTTGTAAGACATGATGTTTTGGTGCTTAATTTGTAAAATCATAATGTCATTTGGTGTTTAATAGACTTTTCCTTAATCCCTCATTATTATCTAACATTTTTGCTTATCCAACATTCTGACGGCACATTTATGTTGGATAAGTGAGACTCTACTGTATGTGGATGGAAGACCTAAATACTATTTTAGCAGTTTGGTCATGAGAAAGCTTACTTGTCCAAATGTATCTTCCTCTACATTCTGCCTCACAGTCTTAAGATCAACCGGGGAGGCCCTGCTCTCAGTCCCAAACGCATCTGGTGGGGACGAGGGACAGGGCCTTCTCGGTGGTGACCCCCCGCTTGAGGAATTCGCTCCCCAGTGAAATTAGATTGGTGTCATCCCTCCTTTCTTTCAGGAAAAAAACTGAAAATGTGGTTTTGGAATCAGGCCTTTGGCTAGCGGGCACAACGGCACTTGAACATCGAATCAGACCATACGATTGTTATAATGGAAATAGCTTTAAGATTGTAAATAAATGTTGTAAATAATAATAAATAATGGGTGTGTCACTACCATTGCTGCTATGGGATGTGACTGCCATTGCCATCCCTAGGGCTTACCATGACTATTCAGGAGCCAGAGGAAAATTGATTCTCTGAAGAACTTCCTGATTGTGAGAGCCGTTCAGCAGTGGAACTCTCTGCCCCAGAGTGTGGTAGAGGCTCCTTCTTTGGAAGCTTTTAAACAGAGGCTGGATGGCCATCTGTGAGGGGTGATTTGAATGCAATATTCCTGCTTCTTGACAGGGGGTTGGACTGGATGGCCCATGAGGTCTCTTCCAACTCTTTGATTCTATGATTCTATGATCCTGTTGCTAAGTAAAACAAGGAATCAGAACAAGAGAGCAAGTGCACGGCCTCATCTGGCAAAGAGAGGATGCTGGCAGCAGCTATAGTACCAAAGGGAGCCAACCTAGCCAACGAGAGCAAGAGGAGAGGCCTTAAACTTCCTTAGAAGTAAACCATCCCTCTCCTGCTTTAGCCAGGAGTGTAGTCACAAAAACATAAAGGGATATTTAATCTCAAAAAACATACAGCTCAGCAGTTGACAGTGAATAGGTAAAAAATGGTGATGTTTGCCACCCAACAATCTGTCCCACTTCCCTCCTTTGAAGCCACCCCGATCTTGGAGTCACCCCAACATTTATTAGTTTTAGCCCAGCTCTCTAATCTGTTACATCCTGATCCTTTCCTCTGGGTTATTGACTATCCCTCCCAATTTGGTGTCATCTGCAAACTTTACAAGCATGTCTTTTCTTCTGTGATCCGAGTCATTGATGACGATGTTGAACATCACTGGGCCACCAGACAGAACCTTGTGGTACCCACTAGTCACCTTTCTCCACAACGCAAAATAACCATATACAAATTTGTGTAGAATAAGTCTCAAATTGCAAAAAAAAATTATTATTATAACTTTATTTGTACCCCGCTAGCATCTCCCGAAGGACTCGATGCAGCTTACATAGGCCAAGGCCTCAAAACACAATACAACAATACAACACCTAAAGCAAATTAAAAACAGTTAAGCAGTATAAACAACAAGCAATAAACAATACATCAAGACACTATAAAAACTGGGCCAGGCCAGAGTAATGGGTACAAGATTAAAAGTGCTGATGTGGCAGGAGGTATGTAGGATTATAAAGTAAGTGCAGTGTGTGGTGTGCAGCAATCTTAGTTCTACTAAAGTGCTTCTGGGACTTGGTATTGGAGATTCCTAATCTGGGAAGGCACATCGGAACAGCCAGGTCTTCAAGTTCTTTCTGAAGACTGCCAATGTAGGGGCCTGTCTAAGATCTTTTGGGAGGGTGTTCCAGAGTCGGTTGGCCACCACAGAAAAGGCCCTGTCTCGAGTCCCCACCAAGCGGAATCATGAGCAGGGCCTCTCCGGATGAGTGAAGTGAACGTGTGGGTTCATAGACAGAGATGCGGTCACGCAGGTAGGATGGTCCCAAACTGTTTAGGGCTTTGTAGGTAAGCACCTGCACCTTGAATTGGGTTCAGTAGGTAAACGGCAGCCAATGGAGCTCCTTGAACAGGAGGGTTGACCTCTCTCTGTAAGGGGCCCCAGTTAACATCCTGGCTGCTGCCCGTTGGACCAGTTGGAATTTCTGAGCAGTTTTCTAGGGCAGCCCCACGTAGAGCGCATTGCAGTAATCCAATCTAGAGGTGACCAAGGCATGGACCACCCCGGCCAGATCAGCCTTCGCGAGGTACGGTCGCAGCTGGCGCATGAGTCTCAACTGTGCAAAAGCCCTCCCAGACACCGCCGACGCCTGAGCCTCAAGCGTGATCTCATCAGGGTTTCCTCTGGCCCACCAACCACAAGAGTCAGTTTGCAGAGTCACTCAAAAATGAAGAGAAACTCCGACTCCAAGAGTGATGGCTATTATCCAGACAGCCCCTCCCCCTTCTTATAGTGGTGCACAGAAAGATGCACTGAATACTTGTGGTGAAGTACAAACAGATTTGTGAAATTTATTTAAACTACAACAAGAAAGTTTCTCAGGTATTAGGAGATGTTTGGATGCTTGGTGGTTTCAGAAGATTATCAAGCTGTTTCCTTAAAAGAAAATGATTCCTTAACTTGTGTTCCACAGAACTATGGTCACTCACAGGTGAATTAACCGGGCTTTTCAAAACCCTTCGGTCCTCCCTTCCAGAGGCTCCTAATATAAGCACTCTGTCCCTTAGAGGCTTTCTAAAAATAAGTAGTACTTCTCCCCGTAGGCTATTTTTAACTCCCATTCAGAGGTTTTTCCCTCCGACCTCCAAGCACTTCTTTTCTCCTTCTCAGATTTCTCCCCGTATCCTAGGTTACCGCTCTCTCTGGCACTTGTGGCACCTCAGGACAGGAATAGCCCTCTGATTTTAAAACACCACACACTGAGTAGGAAGAAAACAATCCTTTTATTGAAGATAAGTAAAAGTAGCAAAGTAAAAAAAGAAACACTTTAAAGGAATAGGTAACTCAAATTAGGAAAGAAGACAAGCAGGAACAAATTAGTCCAAGATAAGGTTCAGCAAAGTCCAAAAACAAAGTCCACCCTTCTCTAACAAAGTCCAAAGGAGTATACAATCGCCAGAGACCAGGAGTCAAACCATGGAACAAGACATTCTTTAAACATGAAACTTCCAGGCAAAACTTTCATGAGGCAAGAACCAGAACTTAGCAGGATTCTAAAATGATGCTTCATCTGAATATATTTCCCATGCTTGGAACTTTATATCCCCTTGTTAAGCCATTCCAAGCACTCAGAAATTGGTTTCATTTTCCCTGAGTGCTTCTCATCCTTATCTGTCAAAGACTAGCAGAACGCCGAAGGCCTTGGTCGAGCTGTCTGTTTTGGCTAATTTCCACCCGTCTGTCTATATCAGGGGTCCTCAAACTATGGCCCGCGGGCCACTTCCGGCCCGCCAAGGGCACTTATCCAGCCTGTGGAGGAGGAGCGCCCCCCCCGACAGTGTCCCTCCCTTGGCTGGCTCATGCTATCTGTCAGGCCCGATGGGAAGCGTGAGCCAGCCAAGGGCAGCTGCTCCGCGCAGCCTGCTCGCGCGTAAAGCATCTCGCGAGGTAAAGCATCTCGCCTGCTCCTCCCTTGGCAGGCTCACGCTGCCCATCAAGCTGCCCATTTCCTTTAACTAGGAAAATTGTGGAAGATCCAGGGTGGGAGAAAGAACTCTTGTCTGTTGGAGGTAGGTATGAATGTTTCAATTGGCCACCTTGATTACCATTTCATAGCCTGACCGTTTTTAGGGAGAATCCTTTGTTGAGAGGTGATTAGCTGGCCCTGATTGTTTCTTGTCTGGAGTTCCCCTGTGTTTGAGTGTTGTTCTTTATTTACAGTTATAATTTTAGAATTTTTTTAAATACTGGCAGCCAGATTTTGTTAAGACTAGAAATAGGAAGATTTCCCATTCTCTGCTCCTGGAATTACTGCCTAAAGAGGGCTAGAAAGAACCCCGTCTAAGGGCCCTTCCACACAGCAAAATAGGATATGTGCAATGTGGATAGGAATTTTTAATTGATTTTTTTTAAAAAAACTATAGTCCGGCCCTCCAACGGTCTGAGGGACAGTGAACTGGCCCCCGGTTTTAAAAGTTTGAGGACCCCTGGTCTATATACTCATTAGTTTATGCAGGTGCCAAGTTGTTTTCAAGCCCCAAATTCTGAGAACTCTCTGGGAGCAATTCAGGGAGTAAACCATCATCTCTATACCCTGTACGAACATTCTCATGGGAAACTACACTTTGAAACGGTGTCTGTATGTCATTCTCTGCACCAGTATCATTGACCAAACCATTGCCATTTTGAACCTCATTAACATCATTCCTCACATCCAAAGCACCTTAATCTTGAAACACAATCACAGGCTGAACTCCAACAGCACCCTCTACCTCTTGTAGCTAGGCAACACTCTCAAACCCCCCCCCCCCCCCCCCCCCCCCCCCCCCCCCCCCGGGTCAGGCACCACTACCATATAAGGAGTGGGTGACTCCTTGCTACATGTTGAGATTCTGCTCTTCCTTTTCACTAGACCACAAAAAATGACCCTGAAATGATGGGCCATTCAGGGAAGTTTTGCCAGTGATGTCGTTTTATCTGGTCTTTCCACTTTTCAGTGCATTGCAACTTTGCTGCAGATCCAGTAGTGTTCGTGAGAACATCTTGAGGTGCTGGGTTTAAATTCATCATTCAAGTAGGCACAATCTCCTCCATTTTGTCCAATAACCTCCATCCTGAAACACAAGAAGGCATTAAACAAAGATTTTGTCCCCCGCCCCCCTCTGCCACCACCCATTAAACGGTCATCTTCTTTACATCTTGGCTGAATGCAGCTCAATAATCAGCAAGATGTAAAGGTATATTAACCAGAATACATAATCAAGGCTGATCATTACTGATATCTATATTGCATAGAGATTAACTTCTGAGCTGGCATATAGATTACTACCTTCCCCACCTGCCATTTTTTTTTGAAGAAATGTGACCAAATCTGAAGAAGCTTGTCCATACATTATTTTCCTCTCTGTTTATATTATAAAGTCATTTCATCTGAAGGAAACATTGGGACTAGTCCTGAACAATGTACTGAGCTGTTAAGGTACATATAAATATGACACAAATTGGTTTTTGAGATTTGTAGTATTACAAGTAGGAGTCAATTTGTACTGAGGAAACTAAGTACTGGGTTGCTGTGAGTTTTCCAGGCCATGTTTCAGAAGCATTCTCTCCTGATGTTTCACCCACATCTATGGCAGACATCCTCACCTCTGAAGGCCTAAAATGACAGAGAAACGAGCCTCTAAAGTTTACTCATCGGTGCCAATACACCAAATCTTACTGGCACAAAAACAGAAGCCCCTTCCTGAATTTGGGACATTCCTGGAATGGGGGCAGCCAAAAATCGAGCACTGAAAATGGCATATGGTTTCCCGAGTTGCACACCCCTAATAGTTATATGCAAAAATGCTTCAGATGGCACTTCCTCCACTTTACCATACTGTAGACTGGAAACTGTGTCTTGGCTAAACTGTATTACCCAAATATTATTTCCTCCTCACTAGTGAGCAATAGTGCAGAAGTATAGGGAATCCACCTCCCATATTGAGGAAACAATCAATGAATTATCAATGTCCAAATTCTCCTGAGTATCTTGGCCTTGCAGAACCAGAGCTCAGATATGTGCTGCACATAAGACACTATGCATACATACTTCTACTGCAATTTCCTATAGGGAATGCATTAAATCACAACAATGGACCCACCCTCTAACACTGGGAATAATAATAATAATAATAATAATAATAATAATAATAATAATAATAGCGTCAGAGAAAGTGTCAGAGTCAGGAGCATGAGATATATGTAGCCGCAGCCCTCCAGCATCTTCATAAATAAATAAATACTGACTTGTGCATTTAGGTTCAACAACCATTTAGCCTGGAAAACTCACAGCAACCCAATGATTCTGGCCATGAAAGCCTTCAACAACAAACTAAGTACTGTCAGTACTTTCCTTGGGTGGATTCATATAGCACAGTTAGTTGTTTATTATTTTATTTATTTATGGCATTTATATGCCACCCTTCTCACCCCGAAGGGGACTCAGAACGGCTTACAAGATATATATACAGACAATATATTATATTATTAACATAGTACAATATCAGTATTATATGTTACTATATTGTACTATACCATTATATTGTAATATTATTAGTAATAATACATGTAATATAAAATATATAATTATAATGTCATATTATTATTATATTTATATTATATTATTATTTTGATTTTGAAAACACTCCTCGAAATAATCAACATTTTCATCTTCACGACACCTCTTATTTTATCTATAAAGAACATACATTGCTACATCTACAACTAGTTTACATGGTGTTATTTCTTATCAAGTAATGATTTCATTGGCACACCCATAAATCATTGCAGTATGGTCAACAGAACTATTGCTGGAATGCTTTTGGAAACTGCTGTGGATAGTTGCATTGTTTCCTTGCTTGCTTGTTAAAAGCATGTATATGCATTTGTGTCTCCATATTTGTAGGTTTGTCTTTTACGGATCTGATTACTCATGAATTGGATTAAAATGTCATCTCTAAGAATGTCTAGGTCCTCCAGTGCAACCCCATGGTCAATGTTAGCCACAGAATTATACTAGAGACCCTACAGATTCCCAGAGAGAACATCTCTCTAGAAATGTCTGGACCCTTCAGCAGAGTTAAGTTGCCAGAACGTGGCCATAGAATTGTTTTGGAGAATCTAGTGGTTCCTAGGGAGGCATTCTCAGCTGAAAATAATAGCATTTTTAAATTTGTGGGGTTTTCCTCCCTTTTTGCAGGGATCGCATGCCTCTAAATGAAAGTGGATGGCAGACTGAACCTTCTTTTAGGCCCAAAGCTTTCAAGGCATCTTAGAAAATGATAATTCAGCAGTTTCTCAGGTTTACAGTCGAAATAAGATAGGACACAAAGAGGAAATGGAAAGGGAAAGGAAGAGAGGGAAAATTAAACATGAAATTTGTGTTAGTTCCTTCAATAGTTCTTATACCAGTGAGTGTTACCATATGCCAGCTCTCAACAGAATTGTGTCCATAGTTTAATTTTTGTACACATGGATTAAAATTTAATGGATTTGCCAGGTTCAGCTCAAGATGTTTCAGGGCCCTTCCACACGGCCATATAACCCAGAATATCAAGGAAGATAATCCACAATATCTGCTTTGAACTGGGTTATCAGAGTCCACACTGCCATATTATCCAGTTCAAAGCAGATAATGTGGAATTTTATAGAGCTGTGTGGAAGGGGCCTCAATTGATAATTGGCTCTTACTGACATAAAATTCTTGGGACATTTTCATAGTGAGATCCTACCTCTAAAGAATAAAATGTAAAGAATACTAATGCCAAAAGCTTAAAATTTCAGTTATTGAGCACTAAAAGAAGATGAAAACTCACCTGGAAATTTCTCCACTTGTCCACTTCCAGTCCTGACCTGGTTCTCTTCTGAGGCCAATCCAATAAATATATCTTGCTTTAAAAGGGGCCATTAATTCCTATTAGGAACAGAAGAGTTTTTGAATTCTTCACCTGCTATAATCAATGGCCAATAATGCCTTACATTTGACCATTATTATTATTATTATTATTATTATTATTTACTGTATTTGTATACCATCCTTCTCAGCCCTCAGGCGACTCAGGGCAGTTTACAGCGGCAACGATTCAATACCCAAAAACAGCATAAAACGTTTTAAAACATTAACACATAATTTAAAACCATAACAAGTATTAAAACATAAATCATTTGCATCTCCTAATGGACATATCTATATGGACTGTTTAACCTGGGGCAGGGAAAAAAAAACATATGGCATCTATGGGTCCTTCTCACTTCCAATGTGGGATCCACTTAATGGGGTTTAGTCTCACATTAGATAAAGTTGAGGAATGATCTGGAGAAGGACCATGCTTCAGAGTAGTGTAAATAGTTGGGTCCATTTTGAATCACAACTGATTTGACTGTTCATATGGTTATCCTATTAATCCTGGGCTCCATGGCATGGGGACAGTTGTCCTGTTCTTGTCATTGTGGTGGTCATGGAACCCCAAAGAGCTTCAGGCTGTCTCTGGATGCCATTGCTGACATTGAAAGGCCATATAACACACACACACACACACAGAGAGAGAGAGAGAGAGAGAGAGAGAGAGAATTGCCCCTCCCCTTCATCCTTGTAAATATCAGCAATGGAGCCCAATTGATGTTTTGTCCAGGAACTCTTTGGAGCTTGGTGACCACCATGATGACTGTGATAGGATAACCAAGATAAGAGCGGCTGTACAGAATGGCAGTTGACAGGAACACAAGTGAATAGAGCTAGATTCTTTGCTAGTTTTGACCATCATAGTATACTTGCTATTCTATATGCAGAATACATACTTTTTTTCTATGTCAGGAGCGACTTGAGAAACTGCAAGTCACTTCTGGTGTGAGAGAATTGGCCATCTGTAAAGACGTTGCCCAGGGGACATCCACATGTTTTGATGTTTTACCATCCTTATGGGAGACTTCTCTCATGTCCCTGCATGGGGAGCTGAAGCTGTCTGAGGGAGCTCATCTATGCTCTCCCCGGATCTGAAACTCCAATCTGTCGGTTTTCAATCCTGCCAGCACAAGGTTTTAACCCATTGCGCCACCAGGGGATCCAGAATTCAGCGTTCCCTCACAACTTCGCGGTTCGCTTTTAGTGGACTCGCTGTTTCATGGTTTACAAAAAATATTAATTTAAAATATATTTTTGCTGTTTCACTGGTTCTTGCTGCCACCGCACTCCAAGGCACTTTCCCTCCTCAGTCCTCCCTCCCTCCCTCCAGCCTTGAAGGGCCTTTCCTTCCTTTCCTTCACTTTATTTTAAGTTTATAAAGACTTAAAATAGTGTATAACTACTAAAATATTGTAAAAATATTAAAATAAATAGAGCGTCCCTACATCGCAGTTTTTCACTTATTAAGGGTATGTCCTGGAATCTAACCACCGCAACAAGTGAGGGAACACTGTATATACTGAAAAAAATGGTAACATAACTTCCCATTATTTAAAGTGTTGGTGTCAAAACAGGTTTGTTTTTGTAATGACTGAATTTAAGATGGTCCATATGGCCTAATCATAAAGAAATGCAGAGCATAATACAGCAAAAGAACACAACAAATGAATAGACTTATGACAGCTCTCACCTGTAATTCAGTGTTGATAGTAGCCAAGGAGGCTTTGTACTGGGTGCAGAAGTTCTCACTGGAAGTCCAGTTCCTTTCCTCCTTTGAAAAATGATAGCATTTCTCATTGTATCCAATCCAGTCAGTTGGACAAGATGTAGGATGAGGTGATTGCCTATATAATATTCCTAGAACTGAGTACAATTTCAGGTATTAGATGCAGTATCTTATCCATGCGACTCAAGATGCATAAGCAAAACGGAGGTTTCTCAGACTAAAGTTGAATCCCAGCTGTCAGCAAGACAGGGAAGATTTAAATGGGATAAGAAAAAAAATGATTCATCCGGCATTGTGCAATTGCTTGGGTATGGAAAGTGGATGCTATCATCATCAGCAGCAGCATCGTGATACTGTCTTCTCTAGCTTACAACCCAAAATAATAGTCAAAAATTCACAAAATGCCAATTTAAAAAGTGATTTGTCTGACTGTCATGCAAACCCCAGAGTTCCATAGCAGTGGTGTTAAACTGTATTAGTTCTACATTGTAGGCACCCCCAGGACATAAGGATAGTTACTTTTAACTATCACACACACACCCCTCTACAAGTGAGGGACAGGTAAGAAGCAAATCCACATATTCACAGTGTTGCATCATTCATTTTTCCATAAAAAAAACCTTCTTTGGCTCCCCTTGGGAGTTTCCTATATCACTTATCAGAAGGAGCTATGGATTGCCGTGTTCATATTGTGATTGGAGGACAATTATTATTATTATTATTATTATTATTATTATTATTATTATTAGTACTTTATTTGTACCCCGCTAGCATCTCCTGAAGGACTCGATGCGGCTTACAAAGGCCAAGGCCTCAATACACAACATAACAAACACCTAAAGCAAATTAAAACAATTAAAGCAGTATTAAAACAACAAAACCACAAGCAATAAACAATACATCAAACACAATAAAACTAGGCCGGGCCAGAGTAAAGGGTACAGGATTAAAAAGTGCTGATGTGACAGGTGATATGTAAGGATTATAGGGCAAGTGCAGTGTGCAGTGTGCGGCAATCTTAATTCTAATAAAGTGCTTCTGGGACTTGGTATTGGAGATTTCCTAATCGGGGAAGGCACATCGGAACAGCCAGGTCTTCAAGTTCTTTCTGAAGACTGCCAATGTGGGGGCCTGTCTCAGATCTTTGGGCAGAGTATTCCAGAGACGGGGGCCCACCACGGAGAAGGCCCTGTCTCGGGTCCCCACCAAACGTGCTTGCGACGCAGGCGGGATCACGAGCAGGGCCTCTCCAGATGAGCATAGTGAGCGCGTGGGTTCGTAGACAGAGATGCGGTCACGCAGGTAGGCTGGTCCCAAACCGTTCAGGGCTTTGTAGGTAAGCACCTGCACCTTAAATTGGGCTCGGAAGATAAACGGCAGCCAGTGGAGCTCCTTGAACAGGAGGGTTGACCTCTCTCTGTAGGGAGCACCAGTTAACATCCTGGCCACTGCTCGTTGGACAAGTTGGAATTTCCGAGCCGTTTTCAAGGGCAGCCCCACGTAGAGCGCATTACAGTAATCCAACCTAGAGGTGACCAAGGCATGGACCACGCCGGCCAGATCAGCCTTCACGAGGTATGGTCGCAGCTGGCGCACGAGTCTTAACTGTGCAAAAGCCCTCCTGGACACCGCAGACGCCTGAGCCTCAAGCGTACGATGAGTCCAGGAGGACTCCCAAACTGCGGACCTGTGGCTTCAGGGGGAGTGTAACCCCGTCCAACACAGGTTGCCACCCTATACCCCGATCAGGTTTACGATCGACCAGGAGGACCTCTGTCTTGTCGGGATTGATCTTCAGCTTGTTCCTCCTCATCCAGATAGACACAGCGGCCAGGCACTCGTCCAGCACCCGAGAGGCCTCCTTGGAATTGGGTGGAAATGAGTAGTAGAGTTGTGTGTCATCTGCGTAGAGGTGGCACCTAACTCCAAAACTCCGGATGACCTCTCCCAGCGGTTTCATGTAGATGTTAAAAAGCATGGGAGACAGAATGGAGCCTTGCGGGACCCCACAGGTCAAGGGCCAGGGGTCCGAGCAGGCGTCTCCCAGCTTCACCAACTGGGATCGACCCTCCAGGAAGGATCGGAGCCACGACAGAACCGTGCCCCCGAGACCCATCCCAGAGAGACGGCCCAGAAGGATACCATGATCGATGGTATCGAAAGCCGCTGAGATGTCCAAGAGAACCAACAGAGTCACACTCCCCCTGTCCAGCTCTCTACGGAGGTCATCCACCAAGGCGACCAAGGCTGTCTCGGTGCCGTGACCAGGCCTGAAACCAGACTGTGACTGATCTAGGTAGTTGATGTCATCCAAAAAGCCCTGGAGCTGGGAGGCGACCACCCGCTCCAGCACCTTACCCAAAAAAGGGAGGTTGGAGATCGGTCTGTAATTGTTCAGCACCGTGGAGTCAAGGGAAGCCTTTTTAAGGAGTGGACGAACCACAGCCTGTTTCAAAAGAGATGGAAAAATCCCTTGCTCCAACGATGCATTAATGATCAACACAAACCAATCAACCAACCCCTCCCTGGCCGATTTAATTAGCCAAGATGGGCAAGGGTCTAGAGCCGATGTGGTCGCCCTCACAGCCCCAAGGACCTCTTCCACAGTCTCAGGAAGAACAAGCCTAAAAGAATCCCACAAAATTGGACAAGCAGATGCCTCAATCACCTCATCTGGTACTGTGATGAAATTGGAGTCAAGCTCAAGACGTATCTGAGCAACTTTGCCTGCAAAATGGTGTGCGAACTTGCAACACCGAGTTGTTGGGTCGTCGAAGGTCTCCTCCACCACAGGTGGGTGAAGGAGTTCCCCGACAACCCGAAACAGCTCCGATGATCTGTTTGCTGCAGACGCTATACGGGTGGTCGTGAAAGATTCCCTGGCCACCCGTATAGCCACGGAGTATGCCTTAAGAGAGGCTTTAGCCCGTGCTTGGTCAGACACGTCCCGAGATCTCCTCCAAATGCGCTCTAGCCCCCTTCTCGTGCGCTTCATCGCAGCCAGCTCCCCAGTGAACCAGGGAGACGGTCTGTCACGGCGCAACGTGATGGGGCGTTTGGGAGCGATCGTATCTATCGCCCTGGTCATCTCCCTGTTGTAGAGATCAACCAGGGCATCGACAGAATCGCCAGGCTCCATGGCAGTAAGAACCCCAAGATTCCTCAGGAATCCATCCGGATCCATCAGTCTCCTGGGGCGGACCCTCTTAATCTGTCCTCCACCCCTGCGAAGGTTTAGGGTCGCAGAGAGTCTAAAACTGACCAGATAATTATCAGATAACTGGCTCCATTATGATACAGAACATGTGGCAGCTTTGTTGAGGCTTTTCTTACACAGATCCTTGTCATCATAGAAATGGGAGTTTCTGAAAGGATCACAGTGACACAAAATTACTGGACAAAGAACAACAGGAACAGAAATTAAATTGAAGCCTAAATTGAAAGGGTAACAGCATCAAAATCTGGGCTACTTACCCACTATAATAATAATGAGGAGGAATACAACAATGACAATAAATACACACAAGCGTTTATGCCGTAAAAGCCGTCTCAGTTCCCTTGTACCTATAAAAATTAAAAAAGAAAACCAGACTCATCAGCACTCCAGTTCTAATCCAATGGAAGGAATAGGGATTTCACCATATTAATATTGTAAACTTTGCATACTATATTGTCTCCTGTCAACTTTACAGATGTTTGGAATAATAGAAGATCAATGCTTGTGTGTGACTCATCCATCAGAGGAGCTAAGAGTATAGAACAGTGCTTCCCAAACTCTGATCTTCCAGGGGTTTTGGCTCCCATAATCACTGGTCATTGTCTAATCCAATGGAAGGAATAGGGATTTATATCTGCTTGGCAGTGGGAAAAAAAAACTGTATCCTCACCCCCCCCCCCCCCCCCCCCCCCACGATTTTTGAATGCATAGGGACTGTCCAGGTTTTGTAAAAGATTACAATTTTGTAAAATAAAAGATTAATTAATAATCATTGCTCCCTAACGAAGAATGTTGTTCTGTGACTTATAGCACCTAAGCAATGTTGTGCAATCAGTTCTTCGAGTCCACAGGTACTGTATCTCTGGATTCAACCATCCAAATCTTGAAAATAGTCCAAAAGACAAACTTTGATTTTGCCATTTTTCTACATAATGGTATAGAATGGGACTTGAAGCTCTACAAGTTTTCGTATCCACAGGGGATCCTGACACCAAACGAATAGGTATCCAGTGTCCACTGTATATGTCATCTTAGTAGTACAGGGGTCCCCAAACTAAGGCCCGAGGGCCAGATACAGCCCTCCAAGGTCATTTACCCGGCCCTCGCTCAGGGTCAAGCTAAGTCTGAAACGACTTGAAAGCACACAACAACAACAACAACAACAACACTATCTCATCAGCCAAAAGCAGGCCCACACTTCACATTAAAATACTAATAAGTTTATATTTGTTAAAATTGTTCTACATTTTAATTATTGTATTGTTTTACATGTTTTTGCACTACAAATAAGATATGTGCAGTATGCTTTTTCTCAAATTATAATCCGGCTCTCCAGCAATCTGAGGGACTGTGACCTGGCCCTCTGTTTAAAAAGTTTGAGGACCCCTGTAGTAATATATATATGGACAGGCTAATGGTTTGCTTTTGCATTGTACCATGTACTGTACACTGTTTGTGAAAATACAACCACATCCAGTGCAGAAAAAAATAAACTACAGTAGACTCTCGCTTATCTAACATAAATGGGCAGCAGAACATTGGTAAGCAAAAACATTGATAATAAGAAAGGATTAAGGAAAAGCCTATTAAACCCCAAATTATGTTTTGATTTTACAAATTAAGCACCAAAACATCATGTTTTACAACAAATCGACAGAAAAAGCAGTTCAATACAGGGTAACATTCTGTAGTAATTACTGTATTTACAAATTTAGCACCAAAACATCACAATGTATTGAAACAGCTGTGGATCCAGGCAGGAGGCAGACTGTGTTGGATAATACTGACCGTTGGATGAGTGAAGGCTGGATAAGCGAGACTCTACTGTATTTGAGTTTAACAGTGTATGTAACCCTGTAAGAGGTATTCTGGTGTGTGTGTTTGTGTGCGTGTGTGCGTATGAGGCGGGGGGGGGGGGGGGACCACAACATTGGTGTGATGGAAGATAATACAAAGGCCATCCAGTCCCATCCCCTGCCATACAAGAATACCCAACCAAAGTATTCTCATCAGGTAGCCAACAAGAGCCCAACATATGCTGAGGTAGGATATTCCACTACCAAACAGCTCTTACCACAAGGAAGTCCTTCCTAAAGTTCAGATGGAATCTCCTTTCCTATAATTTAAACCCATGGCTCCAGGGCATGATCTCCAGACATTTCGATCATATTAGTCACCCTTCTCTGGACACAATCCAATTTACAAACATCTCTCCTGAATTGTGGTGCCCAGAATTAGACACAGTGTGATTCCAGGTCACACCAAAGCAGAATAGAGGGGCACAATGACTTCCCTTGGTCTAGATCAGGAGTTCTCAAACTGTTTCAGCCACATTTTTTTAAAGCAAAAAAAAAATGAAGCTAATAATAATAATAATAATAATAATAATAATAATAATCGCGTTTTATTATTTTATTATTCTCTTGGAGCCCCAATAAATGTTTATATTACATTACATTACATTACATTACATTACATTACATTACATTACATTATATTGTATAGATATCAGGCATGGGCAAGTCCAAAATACTGCACAATCCAAAATTGTCCACAAAGGTGGCTGACATGGTGGCACCTTTGTTTTCTAATGGTTCCAATAGTTCCAATGTACCATTACACTTTGATTCATGCACACAATTACTACAAATATTACGTATGAAACTACCTTCAGGCTATGTATACAAGGTATTTTGTGATAAGGCTTAGGTCTCATCTCTAAGAGATCTCGTTATGTATGTATATTCAAATATGTGTATTCTGAAATACAAAAAGATCCAAAATTCCAAAGACTTCTGGGAAACTGCCACAGTAACAGAACTGTCACCTTTGCTGATAGTCCATATGACACAACAACGATCATCACCTCTCCCCAATTAAGCTGCCAATAGCCCCTCAAGGTGCCACGGTGCCAAGACTTACCACGTGTGATGAGATCCAAACGTCTGTGGTGGTTATCTCTCCTCTCCCCTGCAGAAGAAAAAATTAACACAGCACACATTTTACAATTGCAACTTGCCTTTAAAACAACAATAATAGCAACAGCAATCGGGAATCAGTATAGTGGTAGTCAATCTACCTATTCAGAAGTGAAGTTTTGCAGTGCGATGCCACCTGTCATCATGCCAGTAAGTATCTGCTGTCTCATGTGTGATAATGTACCTGGCCCCATGCATTTCAGACAAGGAATACTCAACCTGCATTTATTTCAATGTCTCATCTGCTTTCTCTTTTTGTTTTTATTTTCTTGTCTTTTGCTTCCTTTGCTTTTTTTCTTCTACAACAGTTGCCTTTTTTCTTTAAAACGTGTGTGTGTGTGTGTGTGTGTGTGAATAAAAGCAGAAAAACAAAATGAACACAGCACTGTAGAAGAGGGAATAGTTAAACTGATGCTGCAATTATAGGATTGCAGGAATGGATAAAGATGGTCCACACTTCCCTAGCAATTCACTGTTGAAAAACAAGGCAAGACATCACTGCACTGAGAAATAGAAGTAACATCAGAGCAGCAACTTAAAAATGATTCAAACACAGATGGAAAAAAAATGCCTCATATCAGAAAGACAGAGCATTAGTCTGGAGCTCTCTAGGGAGGAAATTCCTCCAAGGGAGTGTCACATGCAGGTTTCAACTGCTTTACCACAATTACCTTGGCACACATCACTTACTGAACTTTCTGAAAACTCAAAACCAAGGCTGTATGCAAAGGAATCTTTTAGCAACTTTCAAACTAAGAAAAAGCATAAACATTTAAGGTAATTTTGTCAGATTCACTTTCTGTTGTAACTCTTCATTCTTAATTTTTGGAGGACATATATACCCTTTTGAGATTGTAATGGAAATTATGGACTAGTCTTCTTGAAATCCATTTCCTTCTGTTTTTGTTTTGTTTTTATTTTCTCTAGCTCAGTAGTTCCTAACCTTTTTTTGACCAGGGACCACTTTGATCAGAAACTACTTAACCAGTGATGTGACCAGGGACCACTCTCCAACATTAGTACCAAAAGGGTTACGAATCAGTTTTTGGTCAAATTCAGATTCAGTTTAATTACTTGGGGTGCTGATTCAGGAAATTGCATTGGACAGACCACATCAGCTCTAGTTTGCGATACAGAGCATATACCATCCAGTAGTCACCATCTGTTCGTTCACAGAAAACCATATTTAATAATCTAGAGCAGTGGGCCACGGCCCACAGGTAGGGAACCATTGATCTAGCTTGTGCCTTGACTCTGCCTATTAACTTGCCTAGATTTTTGTTTACAAATTTGCTAAGGGGTTTAATGCATGTCAGACATATTCTGAAGGCAGTCTTGCTCACATCTAATGGGCAGCCCTGGAAAGGTGCTTTATATATCTTTGACATTTCTATAACATGATAAAAACATAATAGAAGGTACTTTCATAAGCCATGACTTCTATACAAGCAAGACCTTAAACAAAATGTTGCAGCTTTGCTAAAAACCATGCTGATCTTCAGACTTCCTGGCAGTCAGCAAAGCAAACATCCGCTATATTTCCTGTAGGTGACGTTGGTAATTAAATTTTGTTCTTTTTGAACACATGGCCCACTTTTTCTGATGTATTTCAAATTACTGCAGATTATTTTAGTTTTGTTTGCTTTTCCCTTTAAAATATGTGTTTGGGTGTGTATTTGAACATTTAAAATCTTTTTTACCCCCATCAGTCTACAGAATAAATGCTCTATTATTCTTGGGGATGCCCAAAGGATGATTTTCAAAATTATTTAAAGCAATTCAGAAAACTGAATTTGGTTCACAAAATGGACTCAGAATAGTGTGTCGGACTCAGATCTGGGAATAAAATGTACAAGAAAAGCAATGGAATTTATGTTGGAAAACCCTAGCACAACATGGGTCCCATCTATACTGACCATTTAATGCTGTACAAACCAGTATGGAAGAAGTGGTTTTGCTGTGCAGGTGATTACATAGGAAATACTGGAACATGTTTGGGACCCAGATGATGATTAGTCAAACTACATAGTACCATAGAACGGAAAACAGAATGTTGGTGGACAGGAAAAGAGATTTAAAGATGGGCTCAAAGCCAACTTAAAACTCTGGCATAGACACTGAGAACTGGGAAGCCCTGGCCCTTGAGCGCTCCAGCTGGAGGTCAGCTGTGACCAGCAGTGCTGCAGAATTTGAAGAGGACGAATGGAGGGCGAAAGAGAGAAACGTGCCAAGAGGAAGGCGCGTCAAGCCAACCCCACCCGAGACCGCCTTCCACCTGGAAATGCCCTCATTGTGGGAGAAGATGCAGATCAAGAATAGGGCTCCACAGTCACCTATGTACCCACCAGAATACTGATCCTGGAAGACTATCCTACTCGGCCAACAAGGGTTCGCCTAAGTAAGTAACATTATTTTCATTCCTACTTCACAACTGTAATTTTGCTACTGTCATGAATTGTAAGGTAAATATCTGATATGAAGGATGTATTTTCATTCACTGGACCAAATTTGGCACAAATACCCGATACATCCACATTTGAATACTGGTGAGGGCGGGGAAGATTTTTTTCAATTGGAGTTGTAGTTACTGGGATTTATAGTTCACCTACAATCAAAGAGCATTCTGAACTCCACCAACAATGGAATTGAACCAAACTTGGCACCCAGAACTCCCATGACCAACAGAAAATACTGGAAGGGTTTGGTGGGCATTGACCTTGAGTTTTGGAGTTGTAGTTCACCTACATCCAGAGAGCTATGTGGAGTCAAACAATGATGGATCTGGATCAAACTTGGCGGGGTACAAAATATTTATTTATTTATTATTAAAGAAAGACCTCATGTTATAGGTGACCACACAACTAGGAAAAAGGAGTGAGGGTGGGTCAGCTTTCCCCTTCTTTCTGGTTGCAAGGGTGACTCAACTAATGTCAGTGCAGGGTACCTGTTTACCTGGTTCACAGGTGACTAGAAATGGCAATGGTAACATGGATGGTGATGTGGCAATTGATCGGCTGGCCCAACAGTCTCAGACCAGGTAAACTATGTGGACTCCAACCAACCTCTACAGCATGGATGGGGGGGGGGCACTTTCAGGGCCGAATGGGGAGCATTAAGATGTGTATTCTCCCCACACCCCTAAAAAACCAACAAAAAAACCAGGATAACTTTCTGGCCAGATTGCATCATATGTTCTTGGAATGGGTTACACAACATTCTCAGAGCCCTCCCTTATCCACCGAAATGATTTGTCTTTTTTACTGCATATTAGTCCGGCGAATAGAGAGACATTTCTGTTGCTGATTTAATTAAGGGTATGTACTCAATATAACACTAATCTAGTATTTATAGTACAACATTATTAATATATTATTTATGCAATATCTTGTTATAAAAGCTTTTAAGCTAATATATGTATTGTATTTATGTTTATTATAAACATAGACCTTGAAGAAGGCTAATCTATTTATTTCCAGGCTGAAATGTGCTGAGCTTTTGAAGAATAAATTCAGACAATCGACAAGCAGTTGTAAATCAGACTGCTTTTTTCTGATGATGTTTACTTAGTGGGGCCAGGTTTTCAAGAACGACTGGCTGAAATGTATGGTCTGAAGGGTCGACAGTCAGGAAATAGCAATTAACTAACTCAATGTTATATCCAAACATTTGAGGACTCCTGCTCTGTCTCTAGAGTAAGATTTTCGATCACATATAGGAGCATATTGATTTACATTAGGTGAAGGGTTTGGGTTTTTTTAAATAACACAATTTCAGTTACAGAGATGGGAATTATGTGCACACACACACACACACACCATCCTCAGCTGCATTTTCACCATTGGCTATATTGTCAAGGGCTTGTTTTTTCATGCCAGGAGTGACTTGAGAAACTGCAAGTCACTTCTGGTGTGAAAAAATTGGTTGTCTGCAAGGGCGTTGCCCAGGGGATACTCGGATGTTTTTGATATTTTACCATCCTTGTGGGAGGCTTCTCTCATGTCTCCACATTGGGAGCTGGAGCTGACAGAGGGAGCTCAACCCACTCTCCCTGGATTCGAACCACTGATCTGTCGGTCAGCAGTCCTGCCGGCAAAGGGTTTAACCCATTGCGCCACGGGGGGAAGGGCTGTTGAGTTGTGCAATCTAAAAACATTTGGAAGGCTGTGTGCTTCACACCACTCTGCTGCTGTGCGAGTCATCATTTCCCTTTGAAACTTTCCTTGATGTGGTTAGAAGAATACACTGAAGATCTAGAAGGCATGCATTTCATCCTTTCTGCTCGACGGAGGCCCCTTCCACACAGCTGTATAAAATCCACATTGAAAAGGATTATATTGCAGTGTGGAGACTCAGATAATCAAGTTCAAAACAGATATTGTGGATTATCTGCCTTGATACTCTGGGCTACATGGCTGTGTGGAAGGGCTCTGGAATGCCAGATACTTTAGTAGAGGAAAGTGGGTTCCTAGTTTATTGCTTTTCATATCTGGAAGTGTTTAATTAGTACATGCATGCATGTGATAAAGTGAAATTTGGGTTGTTGTAGGTTTTTTCGGGCTATATGACCATGTTCTAGAGGCATTCTCTCCTGACGTTTCGCCTGCATCTATGGCAAGCATCTTCAGAGGTAGTGAGGTCTGTTGGAACTATGAAAATGGGTTTATATATCTGTGGAAAGACCAGGGTGGGACAAAGGACTCTTGTCTGCTGGAGCTAGGTGTGAATGTTTCAAAGTGAAATTTGTTCATGGAAGCTCAAGCTGGAAATTCATTTTTCCCAGTTAGTTTCAAAGATGCTACTGCAAGCCCTTCCACACAACCCCATATCCCAGAATATCAAGACAGAAAATCACAAAATATCTGTTTTGTACTGGGTTATCTCTGTCCACACTGCCATATATTCCAGTTCAAAGTAGAAAATGTGGGATTTTATTTAGCTGTGTGGAAGGGGCCTGGGTTTCTTTATGTCTTTTTATGCTGAAAGAGAGTAACA